AAAAAAAAAAAAAGAAGAAGAAGAAAAAAGAAGGGAGGGGAGAGATAGGGAGCAGAGCAGACTGCCTCATTTGGGTTGAAATTCTCATCCTGACTTCTTAAGAAGAGGGAGAGGGAAGAAGGGATTTTTGGTTTCCCCACTGAATTTCATTGAAAGATTCTAGAATCTCTCTCCCTTTTAAAACCCTGTTTTATTGACAAAAGCTGTGTTGGGGTAAAATCCACGGCAAGACCAGGAAGGGGGTGGGGAGTTGAAAATCTCCCCTCCAGAGGTTAAACCTCTGCTAGGTGGTTGCTTTTGTTTTGCTTTGCTTTGCTTTGCCTTTGTTTGTGGCTCTCTCCTACTTGGCACCGAGAGAAGTCGCTGCACTTCTCTTCCACAGAATCAGTCACGCCGGCCGAGGTTCCCGCTGAGGATCTGTAAAGTTTTCCGAGCTCCAGGGAGTCGCTCTCAGAGCGTGTGGGGGCGGCGGGGCATCAGCAGCAACAGGGTCCGCGCTGCGGTGGCCCCTCCGTCCCGCCGAGCTCTTGTAATTAACCGGGCAGGCGGTGAATTAAATCTTTGTCAAGCCCACCGAGCGGGGGGTTCCTGCAGCTCTTCTCCAGCCGGTCTCGGGCGGCCCGGGATAACATCGGCAGCGGCGGCGACCGAGAAGGGGGAGCCCGCTGGACGCCGCGGGAGAGCCAAGCCCCCGCTCGGAGCGAGTGCGGGGAGCTGCGGGCGGCGATGGGCGAGCTGTGCGGGGCCCGGCCGCTGCTGCGGCTGCTGCTGCTGCTCCCGCTGCTGCCGGCAATGCTGCCTCCACTCCGGGCACAAGGTGAGTGCGGGAGCCCAGCCCAGCCGTGCCCGGGCTGGCTGCGGGATCGCGGGGATGGGGCAGCGGGGCTACCCCCTCGGTGTCCCTCATCCCCGTGCCCCGGAGGTCCCGGGCAGGCTTTAAAGCGCCGCTGCCACGTCCAAGTGAACAGAAAGGCGTGGCGAGCACCGGCGATGCCGGTGCCGCTGCCCCGGGCAGGCTCGGGACGGGGCTCCGCCGGGACGGGCTGTGCCGCGGGGACCGGGTGGGTCGGTCCGCCCGCCGGGGCCCAGCCCGGGCTCCAGCGGCTGGAGCAGCCCGGAGGGTGTCCCTGCAATCGCGACATGTCGCGGTGGTGCTGCACGGTGCCCCCGGGCAGCCGGAGCGCCCGGAGGTGGCCCCGCGGTGACGGGTCCGGAGGTGCGAGTTCTGCTCTGCTCTGCTCTGCTCGGGGCTCAGCTACACCCCAAAGCACGGGACACGGCACCAGCGGTTAGCTGGGACCCCGGCGGAGCGCGGGGAATAGTGGGGCAAAGGATGAGGGCTTTTTGGAGAGCAAACGTGGAACACCTACGAACGGTGTGCTTGCTTTTGAAAGCAGAGCTCTGGATCCGGGCCGTGACTCCCTTCCCGTACTGCACCCTTTACTCCCGATCTCTTAGTGCTGTCTGTAAAGAGGATGTGAACCTACCTGATTTAATTCAGTGTAGCAGTCCCATACAAATCTTAATTTGTACGACATGACAAAGAAAGTACTTCTCCTACGGTGATAATGAATTTGTCACAGCCAACAGGTAAGTGGCATTTCCATCCGAGTAACCCCAAGGGGGTCCATTCAGTGTTGAGGTTTGCTCCAGGCAAATGCTTAGAAACACGTGATCTGTGGCCTGGGCCTAATAATGGCAGATAAGAGCCAGGAAGTAAATTATTTGTCACTTTTGCAGTGTTTTCAGTCATAGATTTTCAGATAGCAGAGCACTTGTCACAGTTACCCTTGTATTTTATAAAGAGATGGTAGCCACTCCTTTTAAAGAGGGAGGGACAGAATAAAGATGGTTAGAAGAGCAGCATTTACCTCTAGAATCCCAAAATAGCTCCTACTTTCCCTCAGACAACAAAGTACATCAGCAAAACTGTGGCTTTGCTGCTCACAGTGTGCAGACACAGTCATTTTTAGCATTCAGCATTATTGTAAAACACTGAAAAATTACACTTTGTAATCTCTGTGCCTCCAACCTTAGTTACTGGACAGCTTTTTAGAAAACCGAGAAGTAATTAGATATATAACCTTAGGTTTTCAAAGTTTGTTTTAACACAAAGTGTAGCCAAATTTGGCAGTAAAAGGTATGTCAGGTTTTTATTCCCAAATACTCTAACTTCGCTGAGAATTTCTACATCCTTAGAACTTACCAGTACACTGGATAGTAGTACTGAAGAAGATGAATTACATCATCGTGGCCAGTCAGTGTATTAATAGTTCATCCTCTAACTCTGCCTTTGGCATGTCTTGGTACTACAGGCACAGACAGTTTTAACTCACTAAACATCTGGAAACATGTCTATTCAGGGGGAGCTTATAGTTGTAATAAAAAAAATGTTCCACTGACTTGGTGGAATGAGTTTTATTTTAAGATTATGATTTTTACATGTGCTTCTGTAACAGTAAATTTGTAAGAAGTATATGGGTGGAGGTAAGACACATAAAAGGCTAAATCTGTGCTTTCTTGCCTTCTATCATAGATAAAACCTCCCCCAAATTTCACACACTACCAGTTCTAAAATATGAGTGCTACCTCTAAGTTAGTTTTTAATTGGGTTTTGTTTAAATGGTCCATTTTTAGACATGACATTTTATTGCAATCGGGGAAGAGCAAAATGTTAAGCTCTTGTTTTTCATCTGTGTAATTGAAAGCAGACACTTTAGTGAAATCCAAGAGAAACCCCCATAAACCAGCTTATCAAGTTACTTCAGTATATTTATGCTGCTCTGTCAGATTTCAGGCTTTATCTGATAGCAGGGCAATGCATTTTTAAGGTTTGGGTTGCTTTGTTTTGTTGCACTTTAGCCCATTCTGCAAGTTTCTTATCAACTTCACATGTGTTTTCAAAACAAACTTGTCTTAAGACCAACTTGTTCCACGATATTTCTGTTAACATTTTCTGAAATGAAAGATGGACTTTAGCCCTCTGGAGCTTGACAGAAATAGAGTTACCTGGGACCATGAAAGACTTGAGTTTGGTTTTGAGAGTTCTAAAGAAGTAGCTGGCAAAATGAATTCAGTAAGCAGAGAATCTTGGCTTACCAGATGTAGTAAAATAACTATAGAGAATGAAAGGGGATGAGACAGAGAAGGTCAAGAAAGAGTGAGCTGAAATCCAAATAAAACAACAGGCAAGAATTTTAATGGTAACACAGAGTGGGTTAGTGTGAAAGAGATAAATGAACAAAAGCTTTTGTGAAAATGCAGCAGAAAGTGAGGATTGATAGTGACATGGAGCAAAGAAAATGAGTAAAGTTAGGAAAGAACAAAGTAAGCAGGTTATTTTAGCCAGAACAGGCAAAAGCTGCTGCAAAGCACTCAGGAAATGTCAGGCACGTGTGTTTATGTCTAGATTCAATGGAAGGAGGAAGCCAGGAGTGGGATTTCAATAGCTAAGTCATCACACATAATTAAACTGGGAGGGTGGATAACATTACTCCAAGATAAGATGTGGAAGTGGAGGCAGAAGATTGAGAAGATTGGAGGGTGAAAAAGAACAGAAAGAGTGTCCACTAAGAAGTCCACAGAGGAGTTGTCAGAAGCAAGAGGGAAAAGAGAGGAAGAAGTCACA